TCCCTACCAAAGCTCGGCCCATTCAAATGAGCAAAGATCTGGTCAAGACATGTACTGACGAGATAACAGATCTTCTCAAGAAGGGACTAATCAGTTCTTCCAAAAGCCCTTGGTCTTGTTCGGCTTTCTACGTAAACAATCAGGCCGAGAAAGAACGAGGAATTCTTAGGCTCGTAATAAATTACAAGGCCCTCAACAAAGTCCTCAAATAGATTAGGTATCCTATACCTAATCGTCAGGATTTACTAAAAAGGATCACTTCTGCAAAAGTGTTCTCAAAGTTCGATTTAAAATCTGGGTTTTGGCAAATCCAGATTCATCCAAGTGACCGTTACAAGACGGCCTTCAATGTTCCATTCGGACAATATCAATGGAACGTCATGCCATTCGGATTGAAGAATGCTCCTTCCGAATTTCAGAAGATTATGAACGACATCTTCAGCAAATACCAAGAATTCACAGTAGTCTACATTGATGATATTCTGGTATTCTCAAATACTGTAGATCAGCATTTCAARCATCTTCAGTTATTTCTCAACATTATCAGGACAAATGGTCTTGTGGTTTCTCAGCCGAAGATCAAGCTGTTCCAAACAAAGGTGAGATTCCTTGGTTATGATATTAATCAAGGAATTATCAAGCCAATCCAAAGGTCTCTGGAATTTGTGGATAAATTTCCAGATATCATACAAGACAAAACAAAACTACAGCGATTTTTGGGTTGTGTAAATTACATTGGAGACTTTATTAAAGATCTCCGTACAATCTGTCGACCACTATATGACAGATTAAAGAAGAATCTAAAGCCTTGGACTGTAGAGCATACACGCGCAGTCCAATCCATCAAATCACTGGCGAAAAGAATCYCATGCTTATCCCTAGTAGATGAACAGTCTCGACTAATATTAGACACCGACGCGTCAGAGATTGGTTACGGCGGTGTTCTCAAACAGGAAATTAACGGAAAAATCACAATAATCTGTTATCATTCAGGCATCTGGAATAGCGCACAGAAAAACTATTCCATGGTGAAGAAAGAAATATTGGCAATACTGCTTTGCATTCAAAAGTTCCAAAGAGATCTTATCAACAAAGATTTCACCATACGAACGGATTAAAAAGCAAGTAAATACATCTTTGAAAAAGATGTAAAGAATCTTGTCTCAAAGCTAATCTTTGCAAGATGGCAGGCCATACTGTCTTGCTTTGATTTCCAAATCGTGCCTATAAAAGGAAGCGAGAATTGCCYTGCTGATTACCTTTCAAGAGAACATCTCTTGAAAACCCCCAAATCAGCTCTGACCTCTCTTCCTCCAGATGGAACCTCCTCTCGGCCGGAGACGGCCAAGCACCCAGTGGCCTCCGCCSCAAAACAATCAGCRACATCCGTCGCCGAGAAATGAATCAACCATTTCTCCTCAAACAGTAGCATCCTCCTCGAGAGCTGCTATCTCAAAGGGCAAAAGGCCCATTACTCAATCATCTGTACCATCTCCGATGAGTGCAGAAAATTATGCCATGGATATCCAGTTTGAAACTGTATCCAGACGCCAGCAAGGTTCCGCACAAAGAGCCTTGACTATCCAAACAGGCCCTCCTAGCCTTCCCACTCCGTCAAGCAYGTTGTCACGCCCTTTTGGTAATACAACGAGAAACAGGCGCTCTGCTATGGCAGCCGCCACTTCAAAACCAACGGTTCCGAGGAATCCTTCCTCGTTTTCTCAAATCGTCAGGCCAAAGATTTTCCAGCCAAGGCCTCCAATCACTGGTTATTTCACCAAAACTACCCTAGTGGACTCAACYATTGAACCAGAGTTCGACGGACCCTCAATCCAAGAAGTCTGTAAACAAATATTTYCTCATGGCTTTAACTTCCTACCAGAGGATCTTCTAAAAACTCGCACCTATTATGAGTTTATTCTGGTAGATTCAAAGTCTGCAGAAATTACTCATATTYCAGATAGAAATGATCCTTCCAGGACTATTTATTCAAAACTCAGGATCTTCCGCATCCTTACCCCTTCCTCCTGGAAACAGGGTATGTTTGTAGGGAAGAAACTGACGGCGACCTTTCAGCCTCAAACATACAACTATCGCGACTACATGAAAGCGTGGTATGTTGTCTTCTGGTTGCAAGGTTACAACCATTCTTGGTTCGTGACTTTTTGTAAGCAAGATTACAAATCGCACTTTCCGATTTGGTTTCAAAGTTGGTGGACATACTTTGGACTCTCCGAGGAAATTTTTCCGGTAGTAGTTCAGAGATCGTACCATCTGTTCCAACAAAGTATCTATTCGTCCCCCCTCTCTAAGACGTTTAGATTTGCTTTGTATTTTCAAATACCATGGATCTTTTGCTRGAATTTCCAGCTAGGACCCAGTGGCAACTTCAAAGCATTGAGCAAGGCTTTACGCATCAAATGGTGGGAAAAATTGGACTATTCCTACCTAGAATCTGATAAGATGAAGAACTGGTTGAAAACCAACGTTCATCTCCAAGACATGACAAGGCAAGAAGACGAGAGTTTCCTTCTARCCAAGAATGCTGTCATGAGCTCGCTAGCTGGAGCCGGATCTGAAGCCGACTTCAACTCAGTTCTCAATACGGTCGCARTTCAGATCTCTGACCTAGACGACGCYCAGACGGATGTTGACTCTTCCGCYTCTGTCAACAATGATGTCGAAAACGACGAAGAGGACTTTGATCCCTTTGAAGGATACGACATCAACGACCCATATCTAGACTCACAGCCYAGCTGAAGCTGGATATCTCAAGCGTTTAATTTTTAATTTATTATGTAAATTAATTTGTTTGAATTTCGTTTTAAATTTYTGGATAAGATCATTGTATTCCGATCTTATCATCACTATCCCAGTCTGTTTTTGTGAAGGACTTGCAGAAGGAATTAAGATGCARTAGATGGCAAGCTTCTGATGTGGAATAACCAACCACGAGGCAGCGCAGGTAGCGTATAGGATTGACTCAGTTGAGAGGATTC